TGTAAAAGTTCGAGAAAAACAATTATGAATGTACCTCACTACTTGAATTGAAATGAAACCGTCCGCCGGTCGTTCGAAGATCGACGAACGTCGAACTTTAACCCTAAAAGTTCGAAGTTCGTCGAACTTCTGACTTTTCAGGATTCGAAAGTTCGAAATTTTTCGAATTCTCTTGATAAATAAGTTCGAAAGTTCGAAATTCATCGAATTTTATGGTCAGTCAAGTACGGAAGTTCGACAAGCATCGAACTTTGCAGAGCAATAAGTTCGAAAGTTCGAAAAAGATCGAATTTTTTGGCGTAATAAGTTCGACGGTTCGAAAAGTGTCGAACTTCTCAGCTTAACAAGTTCGAACATTCGACTTCTGTCGAATTTCACGATATAGACAATTCGAAAAATCTAAATCTTTCGAACCTTTCGAACCGCTTGATTCGATCATCGAAACTTCGATTCGAAAAAAGTTCGCGGCCTCCCTAGTTTTACCCCTCCTCGTTGAGGCGCTTCACACAGCCCAGAGGTTGCCGTCGAAACTACACCCAGAAGCAGTGGGATCCGTATGCCCTTAAAGCACATGCTTCGACCCCTTTGTAGAGTCTTAGTCCGACACGTTCAGAAACAGATTTTTGAGTTTCCTTCAAACAGCTATCAATCCCTTCGACTTCAACTATTTTATATGCATTTGTATGTTGTAAGCAATAACAGGCAATGCCACAGAAGGCCTAACCTGACATTGCGATACGATTAGAAAGTAAAGCATGCTGATTTTTATGTGCTGGCACTATATACACGGTTATCACTGACATCATGCCACTTGCTGTTGTGGCAGCTGGTATGTGTGTCCCTTCTGCAGCATATGTTCCACCCCACTGAGGTTGTTTTTTTCAGCAATAATAAGTAGAACTGGACACCTGCACAATGCCATGACGTCACATGCAAGCCATGTAAAACAGGTAGCATCACGTGTGTGCCAATCTTCAATCTGAAGGTGGTTTGCAAAGCAATTTCTGTTTATTAGGTTTTGTGAGGGTTGCATGTACATTTACGGAACTACATGAATGTGACACTTACAGCTGCCTTAATTTTTAGGAAACATGCACCGGAAGGCACCACCACGGGATCTGGGAAGCAGACCTGGGCCTACTACTTCGCCATCCATAGGTTCATGGGGTCGCTGCCGCTCAACAGCAGCAGCCTGGTGTAGAGAGCTGCTTGGACCGTGCAACGCCTGCAGTAGTGCAGGTCGGCTGGTGATTTCAATCTTTCATAACAAGGTTTCTGTATTATTAGATATTCAACGGTTCCTACATACACCAACTCGTGTTTACAAACAGATCGGCAAGCTCTTATATGAAAAGCAAGTCGTCTGCTTCCGACCTACCTGTCAGAGATCCAGCGATTCTGCATGAACTGGGACTCGTCCTTCATCAAATAGAAAAGAAAATACCTCAAAAGCTACACTAGCGCTTTCGAAGGGTGGCTACTGTCCTTTATGTGCCATCGTTGGAGGTTCCTAGACGGGCCATCGGCAATGCAATGGTGACGATACCGAAAGTGGAGCAGGCGACTGCAGGTCTCTCACTTGTCGGGTAAGTTAGTCCTCGTGTTGTTACTTCGGGGAGCTAAGGCTGCTGTATAGAGCAGCTCTATACTCCGTTTCACGATAACCTGGCGAACTGTGGAGGCTACAGCTTCCGCGACCCAATAAGAGTGTTGGAGCAAGGCACGTGACAACACTCCATAATCGAGGCCACGGAGCTAAGCCTCGTTACCACCACAACAACAGCATTGTCTGTGACAAAAAAGTTGTTTTAGGCTTCTTTTACTGTTAGTAGTGTTGCAGTGAGACCCTTCTGTCCGCCACACTACATGACACGGAAGATGAAGACATGTTACTTTTTTTTCAATGATACTTAATACGGATCAACCCTTTCCCAGGAACAATATGGCTTTTGAATGATATGTGAACGATTGCCGCCGTGTAATCCACCACTTCCGCCCAAACATCACACTGTGCCTTGACTCACCACCACAGATTCGCACTCACCACAGATTCGCTAGTAAATTGAACGTACGGTTGTCTCATAAACTGTTTCCAAAGAGGTCACTACTCGAGGGGATGGCAATGTTGCGCCGGTGAATGTTCATCTGAAGTTGGTTGGTTTCGCAGCAGACGACTTTTGATCAGCAGATGACAGCCAGTTCCTCCAGGTCTTGATTTTGGCGCAGTGACACAAACGCTCCCGTGACATAGTGTCACATGCCTCGCTCCAACGCTGTTTTTGGGTCGCAAGAGCCGTAGCCTCCACAGTTTGCCAAGTTATCGTGAAACAGAATATAGGCAAAACCAGTGGTGTAATTGGTAGACTTCTGACCAAAGGTGGTGGCCAGGTAGTTCTTCAGCGAGCAGTTGGTGGATGGGTGCCAGTTCATTGAATATTGTTAAGGAAGGAGTTGAAGAAGCCAAAGATGACAGCAGATTCCTCATGCCCGTGCGTCCGAAAGTGATGGTACATCTGTTCAATGATGTAACATGCCTCACACCGATGCACTTGTGGAATCACGAGGGTGTAGCTTCCAAAGTTTGCCAAGTTGTTGTGAGATGGATTATAATACCTGCATTGCGGTTTAATATGAATATCTGATTGTATGGAAATTTTCTCAGTTGCTTGCAGGCTTGCAGGATTGAGGTGCAGAGGATGGCGAGATGTTTGAGGAGCCACCTATGGACGTGGGAGACGACTCACATGATGTCGCAGCCGCTGGAGTCGGCTTCGAGGCACCAGATTTGAGCGGGCACAGAGGAGAAAGCTTGGCTGCAAACTCAAGGAGTTCGAGCACCACGAGCACCAGCTGCGCTGCAAGCACCTCTGCATGCAACAGCGTGTCCGTGCCAGCGAGGGCGCCTCCGAAAAAAAGGGCTCAGCACCCAAATACTGCCCTCATTAGGGCAGCAATTGAGGAGCAGAAGCTCCTCCGTTTGAGCTTTGAAGCCGCTCGAGCAAAGGAATTTGAGCTCCGGGAGCGGGCGCTCGTTCAGAAAGAATTTGTGTTGCAAGCACAAGAACGTGCTTTAAAGCAACAAGAACGTGCTGCAAAGGCGCAGGAAGACTTGACTGCGGCGATGATAGCTTTTCTAAATAAAGCACCAAAGTAAGCGGATGTAGCACATTTGTGTTGTACTCGGGAGGTATTCATCTAGCTATGGTATTTGATATGTCTTTATTCTTAACATGCCCAATTCCAAGTGTTCTACTACGCATTAATATTCATACTACCCCCCCCCCCCACTTCCCACCCACACACAAAAGAAAAATGTTACGGAGAGTGACACTCCTGTGTCTTGCTGTTATAGTGACTGACAGGGCGAGAAGGGTAGCCACCTCGGTGGCTCCGAGGCGAGGGTGGTGGCCTACGGATCCCATGTGGCGGGTTCGAATCCCGGCCGAGGTGCCCGCAATCTGACGGAGGCTTATTGTGGAGGAGGCGCCGTGTAACCAAGCTTTCAGCATAGTCAAAAGATCCCCAGGTGGTCCAAATTAATCCTCAATCCTCCGTTGGGGCGTGCCAGATGCCCATCGTTGGTTTGGCATGTAAAACCCCCAAATTTGACTTGGAGCAAGAAGGGTGCATCTTTCCGAAACTCCAGCATCTCCAGTTAATATTGGGGAGGAGATCAGACCCTGACACCCCAAGTGACTAACTTTAGAACTACACAGATGGGGACGAGAAATAACAATGAGCCAGCGCTTGGCTGACGAAACCGAACGCTGCGTCAGCGTTTGGCTGGAGTTTGTGTTCGGTTGCTTGCGGGGAACGAGGGGCTCTTTTGTTTCTACTCCGGCCTGCATGAAGAATGCAGCATGCAAGGTGCATATGCCCAGCTCGGCACAAAAGCCGAAGTGGGTCAAGCTCGCATTTTCCGACAACTGCTTTCGGGAGAGATCCGGCACCAACAATAAACGTGACTTTGTTTCGTGTTAGTATTTGCATGTTACACTACCCTGCGCTCTATTGCAGAAGATGAGGCGAACATGACCACAAGGCCTGGGGGCATGTCCACAGACGTGTCGGGTAAACACCGAGGTGTGGGGACAACAAATGGTTTGGAGCAATACCACTTAGAAGACAAGGTCTTCGCATGACCTTTGGTTAGTAGATCCCTGACCCGCCCCAAGCGGCAAACAGCCGGAAGCTTGACGAGAGTATGGGTCACGTCGCAACTACGTCTCGTTCACTGGCGGCCACAGCTGTGTGTGCGCGACTGCAGAGTGCGATAGAGAGCTTCCACAGTTATTTGCAATGTGAATACAACTACAAGATTGCCTGTATTAGCAGCCTACTAATGTAATTTTTTGCGACACCATTGGTTGCCGGTCTTAGCAGCTTGTTAATGCGAGCTCGTTCTGAGCATGACCACTGAAGCAGGCAATGGAGCAGACGATGGTGCTCATTCGGGCTACCTAAAGGGTGCTAAGGGGATCTACTATTGATTATGTTTAAAGGAGCAAACACGCAGGCCTTGATCTCCTCACCAATAGTACCCAGCAAGTTCCACATCTAGTACTAATAGGCCAGACAGGAATGCAGAGTGGACAGAAGTACTACGTTAGTGACTCAAAAGAAAGTTTCAACTCTCTTTTGAGAAGCCTTCGGCCTGGAACTTGCGCCCAAACCGTGTCTCGTGTTACCCTGCCAGATGGGGCATCAAAGTTGAAACGTGCACACCTCTACCGTCTTCATTCAGACATAAAAAAGATAAAAACTGAAAGATGGTTGAAATGTTAAAATAAATACTGCGGTTTAACATCATTTGAGACAACGGGAGGAGACATAGAAAGAAGTCAGCTCTAAAGCCAATTTTTTTGGCCCTGAGAAGGGCCTTTGCTGGCGCTCAAAAGGGCCTTTTCTTCTGTGGTGGTCAAGGGGTCTTTGGTCTGCTGGTCGTCAAAAGGGCCTTCGTTCCGGTGGAACCCGAAAGGGCCTTTGCTTCGCTCTTCACTCTAGTGCTGGTGAAGGTAGGCAGCAATGGAGCCCCGGACACTCGAACCATTGCCTGCCACGGCATCCGTGTTGCCAACTGGCTGCTCGTAGAGGCGGGCCTCCGTGCCAACTTCGGTGAGCCACTGGTACTCCACGCCGTCATTGAAGTGCTCGCAGATGTTATTCAACGTGCAGCAAGCCCGTATAACGAAGCGGGCGTTGTCCACGTCGCGCTCCAGCCGCTTCATGAGAAAGCGGAACCGTGCCTTGATCCTGCCGAAGGCGTTCTCCAAGACCCTACGTGCAGACGACAGTTGCCGGTTGAACTTCTCCAGCGGAGACTGTCCCGCGACATTCTTGCGTGCGTATGGCTTCAGCATGTTGCACGTCAGAGGTAAGGCTTGGTCGCAGAGAACCAGTGGCGGCACGGCAGTCCCGTTGATGGTGACCATTGGTGTTGTAAACGTTGGCCCTTCCAGAATTTTGGCCAGTGCCGACCTCCGAAAGACGTGCGCGTCGTGGCACCGCCCTGGCGTCCCCACGTTGACGTACCGGAACCGGTACCGTTTGTCTACAAGGGCCAGGAGGATGATGCTGTACCTGGAGAAAAATAATTCAATGCATGCGTCAGTTTTTCACACACAATACGTGACGCTTCGGGTTTTCCTAAAGCTGTAGATTCAAAAAGAAAATTTTTACACATTATCAGAGCTAGCACGGCACATTATTGAAAATGACAAGCTACCAATCACCTGCTAGCATCTCGTGTTTCAGTAATGTTTCGTCATTTCCACCTCATTAAACGCGGAATACATTTTAGCGTTGAAAACATAAGGACACAAAGACGAGAATCGGACGCCACAGTGCGATTCTCGTCTTTGTGTCCTTGTGCTTTGAGCGCTAAAATCTATTCCAAGTTCCAAAACGAACTAGCCCAACAATCTACTCTACTGAAATCCATTAAACGCAGCTATTTTTTTTTTAATTAGTGTACTTACCAGCCCTTGTAGTTGTAATAGTCGCTGGCGTTGACCTTAGGTGGCCATACGGGGAAGTGGCAGCCGTCCAGCGCGGCTATGCCCTGCGGAAATTCCAGGGCAGCCTGGAACTCGCGGACGTGGTCGGGGAGTTCGGCGGCGGTCATCATCTTGAGCCAGTCGCGCTCCAGCTCGGAAACGACAATGTGGCAGAACTCTTTGTAATTATCGTTGACCGTTGACCGCCCCTGGCCGAACAAGTGGGCGACGGTCCTGTCTTCCGCGCTGGAACACAGCTTGTAGAGCGCAGCTCCAACTCGTTTCTCGACCGATATGATGGGGCGCATAGGGGTGACCTGGCGCTCCATGTGGGGCCGACAAACGTCCACGATGTACCGAAAAGTCGCCGGCATCACCCGGAAAGCCTGCTTGAAGTGGCTGTCCGGCAGGTTCGGTAGCGTCTCCTCAAACCATCGTTCACCCCGAAAGTACGCTTGGACGCTCCGCGGCATGGTCGTTTCTCCTGCAGTCGCTGCAGCGTTGACCAGGCTGTTTGCAAGAAGCCTTTCCTCGAGGAACAGGGCAAAAGCGTAAAGAACGGGAAGCAGTGCGCGCACTGAGCAACAGGACCGAGCAAGGGAACCTGGCAACGCCCCTCCGAGCGAGCGGGCGACGCTCAGGGTTGCCACTAATTGCCAAAAAACCACTGTGTTTGGGCGTAAAGCAGACATTGTTGTAATTACTCGACTGAACTCGTCATTTTGTTTTTTCTAATATTTTGTTTGCTTTAGAAAAACTTTAAAAATTATTTATATCGCGAAAATATTATCTTTCTGGCGTGAACGTGCTTTATGCGTTTGAACGAGCTGCGGGTGTTCAATCGCTGTAAACATCCTCTAAATGACATTTACTTGTGCCTTCTGGCACGGCAGAACGTAAAGGTCATTTGAAAATCCTGAAGGCCTTTGGCGTAAAGGTCCTTTTAGGTGCCCGTCTGGCACGGGTATAGCCGCCTCGGTGGCTCCGAGGCGAGAGCGCCGGCCTACGGATCCCCAGGTGGCGGGCTCGAATCCCGACCGAGGTGCCCGCAATATGACGGAGGCTTATTGCGGAGAAGGCGCCGTGTAACCGAGCTTTCGGTTGCACGTCAAAAGATCCCCAGGTGGCCAAATTAATCCCCAGTCCTCCGCTGGGGCGTGCCAGATGCCCTTCGTAGGTTTGGCACGTAAAACCCCCAAATTTGAATTTTGGCACGGGTACAAGACGTGTCTCAGTCACGTCATCCCACGAGTGCATCTTTGAGCTCAATGTCAGCAATTCCGTCTAGTACCAGTGAACTAACACTGAAATTTGGTCCCCTTGAGCCCTACACGTGTTTTGTTTGCCAAACGTCCGCTTCTTGTTAGTTCATTGGGCGAAAAGCAAGCCGCATCCTCAGAGGAGTCTCAAAGTTGAGCCCAGCGTTGGCGCATGAACTTTTAAAATCGACCTCGCAACTGCACAAAATTTACTATGATGTCTTCCTCGTGTCATCACATATCACACATTCAAATTTAATGCCGATAGAAGGTTAATTTTTCGCAAACGCTGAGATCGGCTAGCTACGACGGATGCCCTAACAAGCGTCCCCTACTCTTCGCTAAGCCTTTTTGGACGAGCGTTTACTGGCGCCCAAGATCTGTGCCTGAACGGTGTGCCTGAAATTACCTCGACATAGTCAGAAAGAAAGTAAACACATAACAAATATTATGGCCATTAGCAACCGTCAAATGCGCTTTGAATAATTTCGTTTGTTTGGCGCACCGCATAGGGGTTTATGCCCGTCCGGCGCACTTTCGGCGAACAGTGCGACATATTCTTTACACAAGTGCTCGACTTTTGCTTTCTTGAAACGGTTTGTATATGCGAATGTGCCCATATGATTGCAGGATAACTGCGCATACGCGATGTTGAATATTAGTGGAATGCAAGTGGGTGGGGACTTCGTGCAGTGCTGGGGCGCAGTACCGAGAACAGATGAGAAGTGTATTCAAATGCAGCTTTCCAATGGCCATCATAAAAAGTTATATTTAGTCTATGAAGGCACCAAACAAGCATATACTTCTTGATCAACTACACTAAAGTAAAGGCGCGAGCTCGATGTATGTATGCTTATTGCTTGCTACAGCTTGTTGATACGTACACAAGCAAGATTCCCGTGCTTCGCAGCGTCGAGACTCCCGGCACTGGCTAGTCCACATACCTCGAAACGCTAACAGAAAGGCTCAAGTACAAAAATACAACAAGCATGGTTAAGAAAAACTATACGTCTCGGGCTTGTGCTAAAGCTTCGAGGTCTGGCCATTTAGGTTAGTTTAGAGACAACGAATGACGCTCTCGGGACCAGAAAACGTTAGATAACCGCCGTTTATAGTCCACGCTTTGTTTATAATCTCCTGTCGACGTGTCGATCGACACCGAAACCATTCCACTTTCCTCCCTGACCAACTAGTTCCCAGAGTGCAACGCGCGCAGTTTTGCATGCAGGGATTTATGGAAGTAGTCTATTAAGTAAGATCTTGCACTGTTTCGAATTTATGAGAACCTATTGATTAGCATGCAATGCTTCTTCTTTTATACGTCGAAGTACGTGTAATGTAAAAAGAACTAAGGGGAAAGCGCTTTATTGAGAAAAGTGTAGTAGGAATCAAATCACAGTGCTTTCAAAGGTGCAGCAATAAATAGCTTTTCAAACTGTTTTCAAGGTACAAAAAGAAAAAAGAGGTGAAAACAACTATACAATGTTAAATGCAAGGTTACATCCTAGTAAAGTAGGCAATTTTTTATTCTGATGGTGTAAAATGCCTTACTAAAACGCTGTCCTTCCTGTACAATCTCGTCCTCCCAACAAAGCTACTTCTTTCTCTTCATTGCTACTTTTGAAAATTGCTGTCAGGAAAGCTCAATGAGAAAGCCACAGTTCAGGAAGTTCAATTTCAAGTTATTTATTTTGAACACTCCGGTTTCTTTAGATTTCGTTTCAACGCTACTTTTTGCTAAACGACGTCAAAGCCCTTCGTTTCTTGACAAAAAAAAAGAAACATGAAAGAAGGCCATTTTTTTAAAAGAAAAGTAAACCTAACAAATACAAGGGCATACAAGGTCAAGCAAGTAACAAATCACTTTTCCGAAACCATATATTTTTCTCGTATCATTCATTCGTTCGGCGTCCGCTTTTAATTAATATTGAGTGGACCCACGTGTATTGAAGAGGTTGGGCTTCTTGCTTACACTTTTTATATCTTCCAGGCCCAGTCTTTAGGGAAGCCTCACGGGCCGTCATTCTATGGCTGGGAGGCTAAGTTAATGCAAGCTCCCTTTTGAACTGCACAAAACCTTCTTTTTTTGACATATTCCGACTGAATTTATTACCTATCAGGCGTCTCGTTGATAAATAGGTCGCCCAGTGACTCCACTTTCGAAAGCTGAAAAAATAATTCAAACATCACAAAAATTATGGCCGTAGCTTCACTTCTAGTTTCAAAGTCGGAGTCAATATGCCATTTTTAATCACCTAGGAGAAAACTATGAAAATTGCATTTCAGAATCAAGACTATGGAAGCTCCCAGAAAACACTCCCGGATTAAATTAAGTGGCTCGAACAGCAAACGGGGCTCCGAAAAGCAGCGGCATCCCGTTTGATCATGGGGGGGGGGGGGGGGGGGGGGGGGGGGGGGGGGGGGTTTAAAGCACACGGGAAACAGAGTTGGGGATAGGGGCCACCATTTAGGTTTCGCTGTCTCACTACCTTTAGGTTTTTATAACTAAAGAAGATGAATTTGAAAAAAATGGCCTTTAAAAATAAGGGTGCAAGAGGCTTCCTGATGTTATCGACTGTCTCTATAGGCAACTCAATTGACTGGCGATTTAATTTGTGTCGCCGTAAAGCAGGAGTACCTGAAGAGGGACAGAAAACGAAGCGCGTCGTGTTGTGTCCCTCTTTCCTTCTCTCTGTTTTACGGCTCATATTGTGTAAGAATCATGTACCAACAAGCCCATCTCTTCATCTTATTACAATTTAAACTGTTCTAAAACAACCGGGGAATGTTTTTTATTACTCCAGCTTCTTTAGAGGAGCCCTCGGTGCCGCTAAGTAAATGAAATAATATTTCTTTATATGAACTCAATTGACATTCGAGTAGAATAACATATATTCAGGAATGCTTCAACAACAACAGAAAAACAATGAAAATGTTACAATAAACACAACAATAGTACATGGCACTGCTAAAAGCCCTAATACAACATATATTTTTTTTTAATTTGACTTGTCAGTGGCTATTATCAAACATTTTTTCTTTCAATATTATAATGTGTTTCTTTAGCAAGATACCAGATGTAATGAGTGTACGGAGATGACTGTATGTGTTAAGAAAGTTTGGAACTAGGTATGCAAGTGTTTTTGAGCACATGTGGACCCAAATGTTACCAGAAACATACTTTTCATTACGAGAGTTATAATGGTTATAGCGTCTAGTTTAAAGTGCTGGATGGGTCTGCTCTTGACGCGCAGTGTAACAGCCCTGCCTATGTTTTTAGAGCGCAGCTCTTAGGGGCCCGTTCCCGGCTTGAGCGGCGTCGGCGTCGCCGTCGGCGTCGCCGTCGCCGTCGGCGTCGGCGTAACCAAGGTAATCCCAAGGTCACGTGGCCCCCAAGATCATCCCAAGGTCACGTGACCCCCAAGGTCACCCCAAGGTCACGTGACACCCAAAGTCACGTGACCCCCCTGAAGTCACGTGACCCCCCAAGGTCACGTGACCCCCCCCCCAAAGTCACGTGACACCCCCAGGTCACGTGACCACCCCCAGGGTCACGTGACCCCCGCCGAGGTCACGTGACCTCTCCGATGACGTCATCGATGACGTCACTGGCATCCGCATCGTCATCGTCATCATCAAACGATGTCATCAGTGACATCACTGATGACGTCATCAGTGATGATGACGAAGACGATGCGGATGCCGATGACGTCACTGATGACGTCATCAGTGATGATGACGATGACGATGCGGATGCCGGTGACGTCATCAGTGACGATGACGTCATCGGTGAGGTCACGTGACCTCGGCGGGGGTCACGTGACCTGGGGGTGTCACGTGACTTCGGGGGGCATCCGCATCGTCATCGTCAT